ACCACAGATCACCTGTGAGAGCACACCCCCAATGCCCGTATTGCTGGCGTCTGTATCGAGCAGGAAGGGTTCCGAAAAATCGGGGTAGCTCAATGGAGGGGCCTGCACGAGAGCGTCGCGAAGGGAACAAAAAGCGACCTCCTCCTCCTGGCCTCAGTGAAATTTCACTCCCTTCGCCGTCAGAGCGTGTAAGGGCTTAGCAATGGTCGCGAAATCCGCGACGAACCGCCGGTAATAAGACGCAAATCCAATGAAACTCCTGACCTCAGCCACTGAGGTGGGGGTTGGCCAGGAGCTGACACACTGCGTCTTTGCGGGATCGGTGGATATGCCCGAGCGGCTGACGATGTGCCCCAAATAGCGTACGGATTCCCGTAGCAGGTGGCACTTTTGCGGCTTAAATTTCAAATTCGCAGCACGCATTTTGAGGAACACGGCGCGCAAGCGCAAAAGGTGTTCGTCAAATGTCTTGCTGAACACGATGACATCATTCAGATACATCAAACAGACGTTCCACTGTAAGCCAGCCAAAACTAGTTCCATAAGGCGCTGAAATGTCGCCGGAGTGGAGTGTAATCCCATAGGTAACCGGTTAAATTGGAATAGGCCGTGTGGTGTGCGAAACGCAGTCTTTGGCTTGGACTCATCATCCAATGGGAGTTGCCAGAATCCGGATAACAAGTCCAACATAGAAAAAAAAAACGTGCGCCAGCCAGAGCATCCAGAGATTCGTCCATCCGGGGAAGTGGATACGCGTCGGCCACGGAGATCTTATTAAGGCGGCGAAAATCCACACAGAATCGCAAGGACCCATAGTGCTTTTTGACAAGCACTATGGGTGCTCCCCATGGACTGGTGGAAGGGGCTATAATGTCTGCAGCCAGCATGTCATCCACTACCGATTTGACATGATCTTTTTCGGCCGGACTTAACCGAAAAGGATTCTGGCGTACCGGGGCATTGTCACCCGTGTCAATGTGGTGACGCAACAATTTCGTGCACCCAATGTCATATTTGTGTTTACTAAAGACATCGGAAAATTCCGTCAGAAGGGTGCGTAGGCCGGCACGCTGGGAGTCGGACAGATCACTCGTGCCCGAACATAGTGCGTCCATCCAACTATCGTCCCCCTCAGAATGCGGTTGAGCCAGAGGATCGGTCCCCACATTACCCATAACCGTGTCTACCACGGGGACCGGCGTCGCGTGCGCGAGCACAGTTCCCTGAGAAACGACGGCCGTCTGTATGCCAACGTTAAGGACGAGGATAAACGGGTCATCGCTCCCCTTAACGAGCGTTTGAGCAGCCACCAGATCCAGCCCGTTTTCCCCAGCCCTCGAGGGCCCTAACAGAATTCCCTGGTCTAGAACACCGGGCACGAAAGGCCGACGCAAGCGAAGGGGCACGAGCATTTGCGCCCCGGGAGGTACACGCACCGTCCGAGTGACGAACGCTTGTATCGATGCGCACGCTGCCCTTGAGGTGACGGGAAGGCAGGAATGTTTCCCGTCGGCCCGAGGGAAGCTCGATGCAACCCTGATCAATTAGAATTTTAATCGGCATTTTGCCCAAAAAGTCTGTCCCCAACAAGCACGGAACCGCCAGCAAGGACGAGACTAATATCGGCCCGGAGAGTTTGATATCGCCAATGCAAATTTGTGCTCGAATTTGGCCTATGATACCCAGCGAACCCCCGTTCGCTGCGTAACACAGAACGGTGACTGGGAGCAAGGGGCGGCTTTGAACGGGAAGAATATTATAAATCAAGTCTGACACAATGGTCGCCGAAGCTCCCGTATCGACGAGGATACGCACCTCGACCCCGTCAATGCGACCCGCGACCACGGACGAGCCTGCCGACGCAGCAACAATGCGGTGGGCCAATTCCGTCCACTGCCCCGGCCCGAGCACCCTCTCGACCCCGCCGCCACCCAACAAACCAATGGGCGTACCCCGAGGCCCGTACACCGAAACGCGTGAGGTGGGGACAGGTGTGTGGACAGGCCGAGCATGTGGGGTGCCGCGACTTGCCGGGTTGCGATGCGGAGGCCTGTAGGCTGTAGCGCCGTCCGACCGTCCCGGCTGTCGTTGACGAGGCGCCCGGCATTCCGCAGCCACGTGGCCCTTGCGGCCACAGTTGTAGCACGTGATGAGCGCCTTGGGGTGCTCCTGGCGATCCAGTGTTGTCCGAGCCGGCCTCCCTCCGGATCTCCACTCCACCGGGCGACCCGCCGCGAAGACCTCCTCGGAGGGGGGGATGGTCGGCGTCCCAGCGCACACCGCAGCTGCGCCCTTGGGGACGAGAGGTGATCGACGCTGCGCTATCAGGTGCGCGTGGATGTGTCTTGCTGCCCGCAAGGAGCACATGTCCGCGTCGTCCTCTGCGACGATGACGATCTGTAGCTCCTGGGCCAACGCAAGGAGCTTCTCCGTCACCATCGTGTCCACCCCTTCGCCGTCCATCCGCGGGAAAGCCGCTTTTGCGAGGGCCAGGAGAGCCGTGCGATACGCCAGTGGTGGCTCCTTGTGGCCCCTGCACCGCTCGTGGAAGAGTTTGCAGCAGTCCGACGATGGCCCATAGACTATGGTGAGGACCTGGAGCGCCGACTGTAGCGTAGATCGCGTTGATCTGGGAGCTGTGATGAGCGTAGCAAGGGCGTCATCGTCCAGCATGGCCGGTAGCGCACTCAACGCCTCGTTGTCCGTCCAGCCGGCCATCTCTTGATGAGCGAGAAAGCGGCGTTGAAAGACCCCCAGTCGCCGCCGTCTGAAACGAACTCCTTCAACACCGGCAGGCGTTGTTGAAACGATGGCTTCGTCTCTGAGAGGTGCCGCACGCCATTTCCGGCCTCTCCGCCGGTGTTGGAGGGGCTGGGGACACCCATCGGCGGTCGCGCAGGTGATGACGATGCGCCCGCCGATTGGTCCTGACAGCGGGCGTCCGTTGGTGATGACGTCACCACCGCTGATTGGCCCACAGCGTCCACGTGGAGCTGCGACCCTCCAATCGCCGTGGCGGACACTGTCATGGCGGCAAATCCGAAATCTGGTGGCTGTGTTTCGGCGGGAATGGCCGTTGAACGGCGTTCGTCTCTCTGCCGCCTTTGCGCCCGCAGCCCCGCGCGGTTGATTTCCTCCAGCGTGGAAGCCGCGGCATACAGCAGCTCAGCCAGTCGAGAGTGAGCCGCCTGCAACCCGTCCTCCATCGGCGGCCACTCCTCCAGCGGCGGCTGCTGTTGGGGCGTCTGGGGCATCCCAGGATCGTCGGCCGCGGCCTCTGGCGCAATCCCAGGCGAGCCGTCCTCCTCCTGGGGTTCCTGTGATCGGTTTGTACTCCTTGTGTCCATTTTAAGACCACTTCTGACACCAGTTGTAGTGGGTTCCAGGACACGGAGACGGCGGAATGGAAGCAGCACTATTTATTTAAACCTTAACAAGGGTTACACTAGAAGGGGTAGCGGCCCCTCCACCCGTATAACTCAGGAACACACCCCAGGCTCTCTAGCCTAAGCTCTAGGCTCCCAGTTCCTCCTGGTAGGGCTCTAAGGGAGGCTATCAGATCCGGCCCTGGTTAGGCACAGATCTCGGCACCCCGCCGACCAGGCCGGCCCTTAGAAGGACTCTGACTCTGGGGCTCTGGGGCCGCACCACTGGCTTGCTGTGCCGGCCCTGAAAAGGGCAGCGGTCACAGGAGTTCCAGGGTCTCACCTAGCTGGCCTTCTTTCTTCACTGGTTGCTTCAGCCTCGGGCCCCACACTCTGCCCCGAGCTCCCTGGCTCCCCGCACTTTATACCCACTGGAGCCTTAGCGGACGTTGTTGTAGCCACCAAGGTGTGGGTGAACCACACCTTCCCGTGCCATGTGTTTATTCCCCATAGCACCCCTACAAATGAAGCGGTGTCACTTGCCAACTCTCACTGCACATTAGAACGATATTCATTAGAATGGTTGGTTACATATGATGTGAAAGAAGTTCAACATACATGCATTAACTGATCATTGTTGACTGAGATGAGAGTATTAACTCACTACATTAGAGAACCCGATTAAATCATTGTTGGCTGCCTGAATTTGAACTCTGAGCCTCCCAAGCAACTTCTTATACTATCCATCATAGTAATGAATAGTGAAAAGGGAATTTAATATCATTCCAGCTAAGCCAACGATGACCTCTGTCTTAACTGAGGGTTAACATATTCAATTATTAGCACTAGCTCAACCCCTTAGCATTATTGTTAATACTATACGTGTTCACACCGAGTCTCAAGACACAGCAGCAGTGGCTTCGGTAAAAGCCGAGCTATGACACTTTTATGGACGACCTCGCCATTAACTCTAAAAAAGAGAATCACCAGCAGATTAACACGGCTGGTTACGTACGGTGCGAAAGAAGTTTACTATATATACAGATGCATATGTGTGGGTCTTGTGTTTGTTGCGCGCATTTGTTTTTTTGTACCATATGGAGAAAAGTATTGGTGTATTGCAGAGATACATTGTTAATATAAAACTTCCATAATACAAGTGTTTTGGGTTAGGTCGCGTAAATATAAGTGTGTTGTTAAACCCGCCACCGCCTGACAAAGCCAAATTGTAAAGTTTGTCACGTTAATAGAACATGCCAATGCGTTACTAGTACAGCACACTGGTGTGCTGGAGAGTAAATCCACAACATTTACAATCTGAGTATGATGTTTCGCCAGGAATTGCAAACGGCATCATCAGACGACAGCCACATTTGTAGAGAAATCCTGTTTCGTTCTTAAAATAGTCTGCTAAAGCTATATGGGGGATATTTGTTGTGTGTGCGGGGAGTGATGGACCGGCAGTTAGCACACTGCACTACGAATCCGGCAACCCGAGTTCGATTCCCGCTCACGGCCAACACCAATAACGATTATCTGAACCTCCCTGAGCTCGACTCAGCCTGAAATGAGTACCTGGTGCGATGTGTAAACATCGCTACTTGATAAACCAAGGCGACTAGGCGTGGTGTTGGCTACCCACCCACTCGTGTGCCGTGCCAGCTTTCATAGGTGCTGCTCACTCACAGCACCTGGTCTGGCAGTCGGTTATGGGTATCCAGCGTTCTTTGTTTGTCTTTACGAATGAAACACGTTCCTATGAAATCATCATTTGCAAATGGTGGCCTATTGAATGCTCTAAGGTGTTTGGCGGAATTTACAAGTGTAAAAAAGTTTTGCGAAAAAGTCAACAAGTTGAACATATTTGGTTTTGATTTATTTCCTTCAACTTAGTGTTTGGGAGATACAAATTATGACGTATAGACACTTGTGATTTATATATAGAGAGATCATTCCAACTTAATTACTGCGGGTGCCCTTTTAAATGGTTTGAGATGCGATGTAAGTCGTTCTGAGACACCCAAGTATGTAAAGGGTGCTTCATCAACAGAAAATAATTATTACCATTTTAATGTTGTAACCAGAAAATCTTGAAAAAAAGTTGGAAATTAATGAAGTCGAGTACACTTTATCGTTGGGTCAGTAAACATTTTCCACATGTTGAGCAACTGTGTAGGTAGAAAACGATGGACTGACATCACATCCCGGTATAAGCACACCTGCATGTCAGCGCTCTTGAGCTGAGGCACACCCAGCGTTCTGAAGCCTTGGTGTGACGTGAGCGAGACGTTGGCTCTGTGCAGGCACATCTCCAGCCACACGTCGTCAAGGGGAAACTTCTGCACGTCGCCCGAGACGGCCTGTAACCTCCTCAGCACCTCCCTGGACATCACGTAGCTGCCCCAGCTCACGAAATGCGGGTACATGTACCCGTCGAACATCACAGTGGGTATGAAGTACTTGCTCCCGGCATCGCGAACGACATACGAGTCCGTGACCACGCTACCTAGGAGGAGAGGGCTGCCGCCATCTTGTGGAGCTGCCAAGAGGTACTCGAGGATGTTGTCCATGTTCACAAACATGTCGTCCCCCTTTAACACGTAGGCCACGCTGCTGCTGTAGATACTGATCCAACGTAGAAAGTTCATGTCTTTGAGGGTGAGGTTGTAGAAGTTGTCAAAGAATTCCCACTGCAGAATGTCTTGCTGGACAGAATCTTCCAGGTCCACGGACTTCTGGGTGTGGACCAGTGACGGCAGAGGGAGTCCGAGAAGAAAGAGAGTCCGCACGCGGGCGATCTCGCTGCCGGTCCTGGTCCGGAGTCGAACGTCCCTCTCGTGGCCCCAGGTGCTGCGCACGGCTTCTCGCCGCTCGGAGTTTTCGGCCAGGCTCTTGACGACCAGGAGGAGGTTCAGCGTCGCATCTTCAAAGCTCTCGAGCTTCTCTGGGTGGTTGTGGACCATTGGGAAATAGTGGCAGTCGCGGTAGAGGATGAAATCTTGACGAGACACAGAGAGAAGACAACAATAGCATGCAATTTGGGTGGCAGGGTGGCGCAACACTTGTGGCTTACCGCAAGAAGAGCATGGGTTCAATTACCAACTCGGGCACCTTACTGTGAAATTTGTATGTTCTCGTCGTTATGCACCTCCGATTAGCACGGTTGACTACGTACGGTACGAAAGAAGTTTAACATACATACATGCAGTGAATCAGTGTGTGTGAGTGTAAGTGTGTGAGTGGACGTGCTCCTAGTCTGTTCAGGCTATACGGGGCATCTTTCTCTTATTGAGTGGGCGTGTTGTGAGGAGCGGTAGTGTGGCGGTTGGTGCGCTGCGCTACGAACCCGTTGACCCGAGTTCAATTTCCGCTAAAGGCCAACATCGGTGACGATTATTTTAACCGGTCCTGGGCCTCCCCTTGGTCGACTCAGCCTCAGATGAGCACCTGGTGTAGTGTGGTGTGTAAAGATAAAGATGGCCGGGCGTGGAGTTGGCCACCCACCACGTTGAGTGCGGGGCCAGCATTCATATGTGCTCACTAACAGCACTTTCCCCAACAGACTGTTATAGGGAGATCTTTGTCTTTTGATTGTGTGTGAAGATCTGAAAGATCTGGACACATTCCCATCAATGAGCTCCTCCAACAGGCAAGGCTGTGTTGTTTGGGTCATGGAGTCCGCAAGCCCAGCCACCACATGCCCAAGTAGCTTCTGTTTGGCCAGTTAGAGGGGGCTAAATGGGCACGACATGGGCTGGAAAGAAATGGACTGATGCGGTGCAGGAGGAAGTGGACCTGAGTGGACTTACCGAAGACTGGTACCAGCGATGTCAAGATCAGCCTCTATGGAGGAGGCTCGTGAAGGACGCTACTGGGCAGTAGGAGGCAGTCGCTCTCCAACAACAACGAAGGGCAGAGGAGTGACACTCACAACAAGGAGTGGAGTGCCGGGCGGCTGAAATGCAGGAAGTTGGCACAGCAGAGTGCACAGCTGGTGCATCTGCCAGTCATCTCAGTCAACCCATGGTACCTGCGTCTATCCTGTGACCTCCTGTCAGCGAGCCTTCGACACTTTACGTGGCCTCGGAATTCACCAGCTCTGGCACAAGCGCCATGGTGACATCAACGCCACTTAGTGGCGAATGGCAGCTGTTGTTGCTTTTGTGATTGTGTGAGTTGGTGAGCGGGTGAGTGATTGAGTGTGTGAACGGGTGAGTAAATGGTTGAGTAAGAAGTGGGTGAGTGAATGAGTGAGTCAATGGGAAAGTGAGCAAACGAGTGAGTACCAAAATTACCTTTGAAGTGGTCACCTACAGATTTAAACCAATCCGTGTCTATGAGATCATGGTTGGCCATGCAGTCACTTTGAATAATGCCCCAATCCTTGTGTGTGCATTGTCCCTGCTTCTTTATTCGAGGCACTGACATTGCCAGGGGACAGCAGTGATTTCCCATGTGGCAACTTTGTACCTGTGGATAGTGGACAGGGTGACAACATTAGCAGCAGCAGCACCATCATCAGCAGCAGTATTAGCAGCATTATCATCATCTGCAGCAGTGACATCATCACCATCATCAACAGCAGCCACAGCATCATTAGCAGCAGTAATATCATCAGCAGCAGTAGGAAGAACATCAACACAGCGCCATCATTAGCAGCATCAGTACAGCATCAGCAGCAGTCTCATAATTGTTCTTATAGTTATCAACATTTGAAAATCTTCAAAAATATCAATATCACCACCATCTTTCTCAATTGCACTTGTACCATGGCCAATACACAATAATAATGCTGCCAATGATGATGGCAATGATGACGATGAGAATGAGGATGATGAAAGCAATGGGCAGTGACAGAACCAGTGAGAGTGTTTTTGCCACTTGTTGCAGAGGTTTACATGTGCGGGCCTCCCTGCTTAATACTGCGGTGTGCATCGACCACGCGACACGCGCCATTTGCTTCATGGTGAACGTGAACAAATACCTCATGACGTCGTTCTAAACGAGCGTGCAGGTATTGTGATCACAATCTACTAACTTACTCCATTGGAAATACTCACACAGTAGCAATCATCCATCGCCCGCAACTGGCGGACTACTAACCGTTTGCTGTCCAGGTGCTGAGTCACCTATTGCCCAAAGGGACAGCTGTTTTTGGGGGTGCCCTTTGAAATGAGAAGCGATGCGCTTATCGTGTGTAAAGCGTCCCCGTGTGAAGGAGGGCGGCTCGTTACTCATGTTAATGATTTAAACTACGAGAGGTGGTTTACATCATTAACATGAAGCGAGGCGATATACGCTTAACCATTTGAGTCGGACTGTGTGATTTAAGATCTGTAAATGGTGAGGGAATCCATTCCCAACAGAAACATTAACACGGGGCTGGAAACACAATGGGTTCAACAATACACAATGTTGTACGTGGTATGCATGTACAAAATATCTGAGCCTTATCCAGACCACCAGCTGAGAGGAACTGAATGTGTCGCAATTTAGGAAGGTGGCTGCATATTCTTACCTCCCTTGAGTTGGTGGTATAAGTAACACAACGGCAATGCATTCAGTCCATTGAGCTGTTGATCTGGAAGCGACTGAGAGCTGTTGTATGTCCAACGCTGCGCATTTGCGTGTTGTTAAATTTGTTTGTTTCCAGACTACAATAACAATCTTATATGTTGATATGGGTTTAAATTAAGGGCGCCGTGATGGCAATATGTTATCTCCCTCGCCTGGTATGCAGGAGGTCATGATTTCGGTCCTGACCCTGATGCCTGGTGTATATTTGGAGTTTGCATGTCCTCCCCATGGTCATGTGGATTTTTCTCCGAGTCCTCTGGTTTTTCCTCCATATTTAGAAACATGGGTTTAAGAGTATTTGTCTGTTATAAATTACCACATGATAAGCCACTTCGTTGAGCTATAATTGTGGCCAGGTCGTTTCTGAAAAAAAGCTAACAGCTCTGTGGGCTGGTAAAATAAAATAGTTTAGTTTAGAATTATCAGTGTAAAGAACTCAAATGGCATCACCGAGTGCCATGACTCCTTGCAATTAGAGGATTCTATTGAACCAAAGAGTATGGATCCTAGCAGTCACGAAAGCTTTAAATCTAGAATTAGAGGATTGTTCGAGGGAGCTGTACAGAAACTGGGTGGTGCTGTCACCGTGTTTACCAATGCTGGTCTCTTTTTCCATGCTGGATTGTATGGCAAATCAGGGAGGAGGAGGATGGCTCCGACCAACGTCACCGCCACCACCACTTTAAGAAGTTGCAATCTGAGTTGAACATCACAAACACGTGAATAAAACTGAGTGTGCAGTGAACACAAAACACTCTCTCATGGTTCCCACTAATTACCTGATCATTCCCAACACACCTGGAATCCCATCGCTTCAGAAATGTTCTCAGTTGCCCTCCCATATATATCACAATTGTAGGGGAAGCACGGTGTGTGAAGAACATCTGTGAAATGTTCTCCGGTGTGCCTGTAGACTATGCAAATCTGTTACACAATTTGAGGTGGAAGGATTGTACTGAATTTTTAAGACCTGACATCAAAGTAGAAAATAAAGGCAAAAACCCTTAACTCCTAAAATAATATTGCCAGTTCAGCTAAGATGTGTTAATTTGGTTGACATTTTTGTCGTCGTATAGTCGATGACAACCTGTGGCATCTCATTCATGTTTCATTCTGTGGATTCCAGTCACAATATGAGCTTAGATTAGGCCGGTCACGTGGCCTGTCGGGTAGCACATTTGCCACTTGTTACAGGGGTTCACAGTTCCAATCCATCGGCCGCCCAGGACGAACTCACGCAGTACAACACAGACGCACGAGATTAGTGGTGACTCATCGGTGGTACGAGTGCTCACCTTCCTGTGCACGGGCCAGCACCCAGACAGCATGGCCAGCATCTCCACCAGCTCCTCGCACAGATATAGGGCCTCAGCCACCGACTTGTATCGGCCATACACATTGGACTTACTGATGGCCTGAAGCAGCTCGTAAGTGGAGTCTGGAATGAAACACATTGACGATAACTCCACAGCCCACCAAATAGGGTGCAAAAGCTGAAATACATACATGTGACACGGCCCAGCGTGTCGCGTGTTTCTACGTTGTTAAAGAGTTTTACAGTTCAATTCCAATGGCTGCCCTGGTTATAACAGCGGGCATAATATCTCAAATATAAACTGTGATGTCACTCACAAGAGTGTCGCCATCAGAGTCCACATTTGAGAATTTCAAAAATTACCCGCATATTATACTCTTTGGTTCTTTCGGTAAAGTCATGTAGGTAGAAAAATAAAATCAAACAAAAAAGAATATATCATGACGTTTCGATCGCAATACAAGCGGTCGTCCTGAGGCGGAAAAAAATATCCAGTAGTGGAACTGCTGAACCAGCGAGAGAGCTGTTACAACAAGAGGTTATATATGTGGGGATGGGCAAGCAGGCGAGGTCTGAGCTGGAAAGGAATTCCATCCCCGGATGCAAGCACGTCAGTTGTGTTAATGGGGGAGGTTAGGGAGAGAGATTAACATGAAATGAGCTTCCGTTGCCGCATAAGAGTATCGTCCCCGCATATGCGCACAACAGCAGTGCTAATGGGAGATTAGCACTATGTTGATGGGAGAGATTAGGTAGGGAGATTAGGGGGATTAGCAAGCTAATGTCATGTCTATGTGTAACACAAGCTGCGGCGCTGCCAACTACTCTGTGAGGCAAGCGCGTCCACGCAAGAGAACCACTGCAACGGTGGTCGTGCCAGTGAGACACAGAGCCCATCACACAGCCAGAACCATCGATACATCGAGGCTAAGGGAGCAGAGGTGACTATGTTAGTGAGACCCAGCCCGTTAGAGGCACCTAACAGGGCAATGCAACTCAGAGAGTCGGAGATAACAGCCAAACGTCAGGGAAGAATGGAAGCGCCACAGCAAGTTATGACTTTGCTTGGTTAAAACGTCCTTCCAATGATTGCTCAGTATATACCTATCTTCTTGGTTGAAATTGTATCAATGGTTCTGTGTGATGGGCTGTGTGTCTCACTGGTTCTCTTGGGTGGACGCGTTTTCGGTAAAGCCACGTAGATAGAAAAAAATATAAAAAATAATATCACGAGGTTTTGATCGCAACACAAGCAATTGTCATCAGGTGAAAAAAAGGGGGAAAGCTATTTTTTGATAGTCCGCACCTCCATATACCCCGCAGGGTCTTGTTTTGTTTGTAAAAAGTGGTATACCCCACGGGTTATATGCGGGAAAATGCGGTACTTTAATGTGGCTGGCTCACATGAAATTGATTTCTCTAAGACGATGGTACTTTGCAAGCCGGCTGGCTATCAACAAAGATTTGTTCACGAAGCCATCCATATATAGACACAGACACAATTTTAACCGAGACGACGGTCTTAAACTCAGCAATCATTGGAAAGATATCATCAACCACTTTCGGTCATGACTTGATTTGTGTTTTCTTGCTAACCTCTACCGTCAGCAGTGTGAATGGGTGTAACGAGGTGCAATGCCCCCCCCCCCATCTCTACCACCCTCTCTCCCCCTATCTCTACCCCCCCCCCCGCCTCTCTCTCTCCCCCCTATCTCTACCCTCTTCCTCCCCCCATTGTCTAACACACTTGGACTGCACCCTAGCCTTCAGCTCCACCCCTATCTCTAGCCCCCCTCTCTCTCCCCCTATCTCTACCCCCTACCTCCCCCCATTGTCTAACACACTTGGACTGCGCCCTCGCCTTCAGCTCCACCTCTACCCCCCCTCTCCGCCTGTCTCTGCCCCGTCCCTCCCCCCCCCCCCCCCCCCCCATTGTCTAACGTACTTGCTTTACTTGTGTAGTGGCCTTATTGACGACGGAGACTGTTCTTTGGAGGCAACACGTATTTATTACAGACACTTCACTCTACAGTGGCTAATCTGATACTTGAAGAGGTAACGGCCTCTTCACCCGTACTCTATAGAGGGAACGTTTTCCGAGCTTTAGCCCACGCTCGCTCCCTGGTTCCCTCTATCCTGGTCCTCTCTCAGGAGGCTATCTGACCTGGCCCAGCTTCGGCGCAGGTCCCGATCACCAGCCCCACGAGTTCGGCCCTCAGTTCGGCCCTGGTAATAGCAGGTACCACCACAGTCAGTATGAACTGCTGTAATCATAGCAGGTATCACCACAGTCAGTATGCACTGCTGTAATCATAGCAGGTACCACCACAGTCAGTATGCACTGCTGTAATCATAGCAGGTACCACCACAGTCAGTTTGCACTGCTGTAATCATAGCAGGTACCACCACAGGCAGTATGCACTGTTGTAATCATAGCAGGTATCACCACAGTCAGTATGCACTGCTGTAATCATAGCAGGTACCACCACAGTCAGTATGCACTGCTGTAATCATAGCAGGTACCACCACAGTCAGTATTCACTGCTGTAATCATAGTAGGTACCACCACAGTCAGTATGCACTGCTGTAATCATAGCAGGTACCACCACAGTCAGTATTCACTGCTGCAATCATAGCAGGTACCACCACAGTCAGTATTCACTGCTGTAATCATAGTAGGTACCACCACAGTCAGTATTCACTGCTGTAATCATAGCAGGTACCACCACAGTCAGTATGCACTGCTGTAATCATAGCAGGTACCACCACAGTCAGTATGCACTGCTGTAATCATAGCAGGTACCACCACAGTGTGCACTGCTGTAATCATAGCAGGTACCACCACAGTCAGTATGCACTGCTGTAATCATAGCAGGTACCACCACAGTCAGTATGCACTGCTGTAATCATAGCAGGTACCACCACAGTCAGTATGCATTGCTGTAATCATAGCAGGTACCACCACAGTTGGTATGCACTGCTGTAATCATAGCAGGTCCTACCACAGTCAGTATGCACTGCTGTAATCATAGCAGGTACCACCACAGTCGGTATGCACTGCTGTAATCATAGCAGGTACCACCACAGTACGCACTGCTATTAGAAATTAGCATAAAAATTAGCATTTGATTGGCGGATTTTAGGAAAGAGGTGATGTACATGCTGGTGGACTTGCAGTTTGGCGCGGGGGGGGGGGAAAGGGGGAGGGGGAGTTTACCTATTGATGGTGTGAAAAGGGGGAATTTATAAGAGCTGCGAAAGTTTGGGGTACCACTACTTGAAAAAATATACTGTACCATTGAAATTAGTTTAATGTTTAGTTCGATTTAGAACATCTTTCCAATGGTTGCTTAATTTGAAACCATCCTCTCGGTTGAAATTGTGTCTGTGTTTGTAGATCTGAATTGCTTTTTATGCTAATTTCTTTGTCAGAACACCTTGTTTGCTCGCACACAGGTCCGATGTCTGAGCGTGGTTGTGTTTCGCTAAATTCTCCTGTTTGATGAGTACTAGGTGCCTCGGTGAATGTATATGCTCTAACTTTAACACAGCTATTTCTGTGACCAGTTACAAGCTAATCACTCAGCTATTTCAATGCTAAATTCGATGCTAATTCCTTTGTCAAGGGGTACCTCTGCGGATGTGTATACTTTAACTTAGCTATTTCAATGAACCATTTCAATGCTAAATTATATGCTAATTCCTTTGTCAAGGCGCTTGGTCTTTTTCTTCTCACACAGCTTAAAGGTCGTGATCTAAGCGTGGCTTCTTCCACTCCAGCGCTGTCCTCCAGACAGTCTCGTCCCTTCACCTGATGAAGGCCGCTTGTGTTGTGGCCGAAACGTCGGGATTTTTTGTTATTTTATTTTCACCTACGTGACTTTACCCAATAGAACCAAAGAGTAATGTGTTCCTGGTCAGAGATGCATTGGGCTCCATGGTATAGAGTCTTGATGAGAGAATTCTTCTGGGATGGATGGTGGTGGGAATCCAGTTTTAAGTAAGCATCCGTATGGGTAGCTTTTCTGTAGATAGAGTGGCTCATTGAACCATCAGGTCTTCTTTTAATTAGGACATCCAAAAAGGGTAGCTTGCCATCTTTTTCGACTTCCATGGTAAATCTGATGGCTGGGTGTATGGAATTGATGTGGTCGAGGAATTGGTCTAGAGCAGGCCGGCCATGTGGCTAGATGACAAAAGTGTCATCCACGTACCTCTTCCATAAGGTCGGGCATAGAGTGGCAGTCTGGATGGCGTCAGTCTCAAATTTTTGTTCCATGAAAACGTTGGCTACAACCGGAGATAGGGGGGAGCCCATTGGGGTGCCCTCAGTTTGTTTGTAGAAAGTTCCATTCCAGGTGAAGTATTTGTTGGTTAAGCAGTGTATCACCAGGGGGGATACATCAGTATGCAGTCCTTGATGAACCAAGTCTTCAATGATTGCGATGGTGTCAGGTACAGGTACTTTGGTGAATAAGGAAACCACATCAAAACTGACAAGCAGGTTGTCTGGGGACAGGGAAATACCCTTGATTGTCGATACCAGGTGAGTAGAGTTTAATATCGCAGAGGTGGTTTTTAAACATAACAGCATTCTCAGTATTATAAGAACACTAGGTTAAATACCCGGCTTCGCCCGGGACTTGGATTCACAAACGCCCGGCCGCCTTTGTCTCCCCAATGGCGATGTTCACACACCACACCATATTCTTGGTTCTTTCAGTAAAGTAACGTAGAAGGGAAACAATAAAATAATAAAAATATAAAACACCACACCAGTTACGTCTTTGAGGCTAAGGCTGAGTCGACCTAGGGGAGGCCCAGGACCAGTTCAAATAATCGTCACCGGTGGTGGCCGTGAGTGGGAATCGAACTCGGGTCGCCGGGTTCGAAGCGCAGCGCGCGAATCGCTAAGCAGTCGCTGCCCCCCTCCCACACACACAGGATAAAGACAAAAATCCCCCATGTAGCCTGTGAGACTGTAGGGGGCAAGTGCTGTTAGCAAGCACCTATGAAGGCCGGCACGGCACACGAGGGGGTGGGTGGCCAGCACCATGCCCGGCCACCTTTGTCCCCCCAGTGGCGATGTTCACACAGCAGAGCAGTTACTCGTTTGATGCTGAGTCGACCTAGGGAAGGCCCAGGACCGGTAAAAATAATCGTCACTGGTGGTGGCCGTGAGCGGGAATCGAACTCGGATCGCCGGGTTCGTAGAGCGGCGTGCTAACCACTACACTACAATGCGTTACGCTTCCACATGCACGGGTCACGTGACAGATTTGACGTCACAGCTCACTTGCCGTGCAAAAAAATGCATTATTGAGCTCCCCCCCCCCCAAAAAAAAAACCAAAAGTGTATTTTTATAAATTTTGCATGGGGTAGAGTCTGGAAAGTTCCCACATGGCAAATTTCAAGTTTGTTGCATTTCGGGAAGTATGCTAAACATTTTGAACAGACACACAATCACAACTTTGCTTTTATATATTTGGAGAT